AACAAAAAAAATAAATAAACAAAAAAACAAACAAACAAAAACAAAACAAATAATCAACAAATCAACATATCTAATTGAGAAGAAAAAACTTCTAAAACTCGATCAACAATCACAAATCTCAATGAAAGAAATACATATGTTCAACAACACTCATACACACAAATATATAATATATTACATATATTCTCAAAATCTTGAATGAGGAATGTAACCATGATGGTGATAAAACCTAGACAATATTTAATAGAATTAAAATTCAATATTCTGGATTAGTGATGCTCAACTTTTAGAGCTTACAAACAAAAAATTCCTAGAATTGAACACGTGTTTCAACAACCTCCAAACCTCTCACGAACAAAGCAAAACACCACAGTAACACATGTTTCAGGACAGCCAGTTGTTTCTTCTTTTGTGAACATGTGAAGGCAGACACTCCACAGCGCAAAAAATTCCTCAACTTTTAGTGATGCTCCACTTCTTCTTCTGATATCTGCATATATATATAATATATATACATATACACATATCTAGGGTAAGATATGAAGGTAGACAGCCATAGCAACCAGACTCAGAGAGTTGCATTCGCCGGCCTCTTGGTGCTCCTCCTCCCAATCTTTTCCCGCAATCTCTTCGATCCCTTGGGCTGCGCTTCTCCTTCCATGTTCTCCGTACGTCTCTCTCTCTCTCTCACGCCGCGCGAATCTGCAGTTTGAACTTCTCCCCACTCAAAATGGTGTAGATCTGAGAAGTGTAGCCAAGGGTATAATAGTCTGATAAAATATTTAAATAATAAATTTTGTCCTTTATGCAGGATTTTATATAATTATGGAGGGTTTAGAAAGTATAGATTTTTTCTTAGTCTTTTTAACAATGAAAGGAAGGTAAAGGGGTTATAAGCCAAATTTCCCCTTAAGTTAACCAGCTTATAATTTAAATCAAGCTATTTCTCAGCTTTATCTCAAAAGTGATTAGGAGGGTGCTTAAATTTTTTACTTATGGCGCACGGCTGGTGTAGGGGGCTAAAATTACTTAAATGCCTTCGTCAATACCCCATATTAATATTAAATTAATTAATATTAATTAAAAAAAAATAAAGAAATTACAATATTTCTGAAGAAAAAGAAAAAAAAATCAATATTAATTGAAAATAAATATTAATTATTAATAAATTCATATTGTATATTTTATATTAATTAAAATTAAAAAATTGTATATTTCTGAAGAAAAAAAAAAAAATCAATATTAATTTAAAAAAAATCAATATTAATCGGTATTAATTATTAATAAATTAATATTGTATACTTTTGTAATGAATTAATTATTAAATTGATGCTAATTAATAACAGTTGTTGATTATTAATATTAATTGATACTAATAAAAATTAAATATTAATATTAATTTATACTAAATTAATAATTTTAGTATTAATTGAGACTAATTAAGCCATTAATTGATACTAATTAATAATTTTAGTAGTAATTGATACTTAATTAAAGCATTAATTGATACTAATTAATTTATAATGGAAAAATAATTTGTGACAATTAATACTTCCATTACATTTTTAGCAAATGTATCGATTTTTTATATTAATTGATACTAATTAATACTAATTATATTAACTTTTATTAATGAATAATATTTTTTAAATTAAAACTGAAAAAATAAACAAAATAATCATTTTTTACATCATATAAGGGCAGGAGAAAAGACAATTATACAGTTAAAAAGTTATTTTACAGCTTATTAACCAAACACTACTCTGCGTTGCTTAAATCTATTAAATCCCACCAGCTGCCACAAAACAGATTAACAACTTATTGTTCACAGCTATAAGGCATAATCTGTTAAGTTATATCTTAATCACTTTTCCACAGCTCTACCAAATGGGGCATTAAGCTTAAATAACTCTTTAAAATGAGACTTGTGGCTGAATGCCTCAAAATTAAATGATAACTGTGGTTAAAATTAAAAAAAATAAAAATAAATACACTATAAAAATATAGCACTTCGTTTTTAAATCACAAAATCCTATTAATACGATGATCTAATTACAGTCATTCGCCTGTCACAGAGTGATACCTAGACTTTTTCAGATTTTTTTTTTGAAAAATATTATTTATTGGTCTATTTTTTTGGTGATAAATCTAATAAATAAATTAGATCATCATTCGTAAGGGTTCATGGTTTATTCATTAGGATTTTTTGTAATTAGATCATCGTATTCATGGAAAAAAAAAAAACTTTTTCATGAACCCCAACTGCATGGTCTATTGTAACCAAACATTACTCAATATCTCCATTACAATATTACTTTATATGATATATTTAATTTTATCTAATATTCTACATATTACTAATTTTCGTATGTCCATATTTTCATAACATATTAAAATATGATCAAACTATAATATTACAATATTAGAAATCAACATGGCCTTTTAAGTCATATGTACATTAATAAATAAAATAAAAAAAAAGAAATAAAAAAAGAATAATGAAGATTCTTATTACAATATGGTCTCTCCAATATTTCAAACAAAGTTGCGTTGATCTTAATTTGGAATGAACGAAAATTATAGATTGTACGGGGAGGAAATAATCTCTCTTCTT